AAAGGCTACTGGATTGGAAAGTTCAGTTGAATGAGCAATGGACTGGACAAATCCCTAACATGAAGGTGGAAGGACAAGATCCCATGATGGAACAGTGATGTGTGAGGTTGAAGCAGGAGAGAGAGAGAGATAGAGAAAATACAGTTGGCAGGAGATGAGAGGGTTTGGTTGTCAGGTGACATAGAAGAGCAAACCAAGGTTGAGCCAGCCAGAAAGATGTCAGCAAGAGAACATGACAAGGAGTGTCTAGAATCAAGGCCAAGACCCAAGGTAAAAGACAGAGAGATAGGTAAGCATGATAAAAAGGATAAGACCAATCCTAGCTGAAGGCATTGACAGCCATAATCAAGTGATAAGAAGTGAGGAGACTTGGAAATGAGAGAAGTAGCAAGGCATCAACGATGGAGTCCCTGAAAGAGAGCAGCCCCAATGGAAAACCTGGGTTTAAAGAGACCATTCTGTGAGCAGAACATAGTTCTGGCCAAGAGAGGCATCTGATTCATAGCAGATAATGAGATGCACTTATTGATAATTGCCTCAATAAGAAGGTCCAGGGTATGAAAACAAGGAGTCTGGAATCAGGTTCCACCTTGCCAGTTGATATAAGAAAAATACAAGTTGTTGGAATGAATTATCACGAAATGATCCACAAAGAGGGGTAAAAAATGGGAGCATGCCCAATGGACTACTGGAAGTTTGAGTGCACTGATATAGAAAAAGGAATCATCCTGGGTCCATGTTCTAAATGTGAAATTGTCATTGAGATGCTCCTCAACCAGAGGATGAAGCATCAGTGGAGATGTTCAGGTCTGGTGTGGATGGAGGTAATGAAAGCCAAATGGTGTTATTGGATCGATCCAGCCAACAATACAAGTCCTTGAGTAGAAGAGAGAACAGGTGAGCCATTGAGGTCAAAGTTTCCAAGGAGGTTCCTTTGGTTGTGCAAGAACCAATGGGGGAAGTGCATATGCATGTACCCAAAAGGGATAAGTAGTTCCAGTGAAGCCATGGACTCTAAATACTAAAAAACTTTTTATGAAGTATGAGTAGGATAGGGCAGATCGTGGTGACTAGCAGTAACATAGTTTGCAGAAAGTTTGTTTGTTTGTTTTTAATTATGCACAAAGCTACACAAGGGCTATATGTGCTCTGCCCACTACAGGTATTGAAACCAAGTTTATAGCATTGTAAGTCCGCAGATATACTACTGTGCCACTGGGGGGCTAGTTTGCAGACAGATAGACGGATGATAAGTACAGCTGAGAAACGAGTTGAAAAACACTTTGACAGGAATAAAATATTGAGTGTGATGGAGGAAAAATATTGGAAATGTTGATGAACACCTCCTTCTTGAGTCATTTTACATAGATTGGAATAGGAGGGGGAAAGGAAATATGATGAGGGCTGAAAAGGGGAAGAGAATTGGAGAGAATGTCCAGAGGTAAAAAATTGAGTAACCTCTGTGTAAATGGAAAGGTGTGACCACAGGAGCTCAAACTGTGACTGCAAGTCCCCAGAGGACCCAATTCAACTTAATTGCCATGGACAAGATTGATGAGTCTGATGCCAGGGTACAAGAAGAAAATTGGGAAGTGGGAGTCAATATATGGGAACCTGGGAGGTGGGGGCTAAGCTAAGGCATAATAGTGGAGGGTTGGGTTTCAGACATTGTGAAAACAAAGGAAAAGGATGAAAGTTGGAATTGATGACAAGAACAATCTGCATGATTCAATCAAATCAGAAACACCTCCAAAACTTCAGAGTAAATAAAAGAGGCTAGGAAAAGATCTCACAGAAGGAAAGAAAGAAGTTGAACTTGGGATAGAAGAGTAGCCCTACCAAGAGTTCTCTGCAACAAAGAGCTGAATGAGCAGGAAAATGGAAGAAGTGGTACAGGTCACAGTGAAGAAGTGAAGGAATTGAGAATTGTCTGCAAATTTTTCAGGGCATAGTGGGGTGCCTCAGACTTGGTGTAGAGAGGAGATGTAAAGAAGTACAGTAAAAAGGATCAGGTAAAGACAAAGGTATTGGAAACTGGAGGGCAAAACCAACACCCTCCTCCCTCAAAACAGGCAAAGGCAATCCAAATGTGGGAATCTCAAAAGGGTATTAAGAATGACTAAAATTGAGGATATAAGAATCAGATACGGAGGGTGACGCTTGAGGAGGAAGGAATGTAAATGGTAGAAGAAAAGTAAACAAATTAGTTAGAATTAGGATTAAAAAGTAGGGAACAAGAAGAAGAATATCACACAGGGGAAAGAGAAAGAATCATACACACCTGTAAAATTAAGTCCTGATAATGCAAAAACGTTTTATGAGGAAGGAACCCCTGAAAAAGAGAGAGAAGCTGAAGGTCCTTGCTTCATAGGGGAATCTACTGCCCTATACATAATGGCTGTCACATCATCCCCAGTGAACAAGCATACATAAGCTATAGACATTACATAACCTGTGAAAGGAAATTATTCACACACATCCACATGTTGAAAAAAGATGAGTTGAAAAACACTCCCAGATGAATAAAATATTGAGGAAAAATATTGAAGATGTTGATGAACACCTCCTCCTTGAGTCGTTTTACACAGATGGAGATTATTCACTCACACAAGTTGAAGATGATGTTACATGAACTTGTGTGTTAGTTTGTAGAAAAAAAAGGGGGAAATTAAGTTCCTTATACAGCACAAATCTTGTTAAGTTGAAAACGAAGAAACAAGTGATGTGTTCAGTGCTGAGAAAAAGAATGAAGACTGATGAGTACAAAAGCATAGGAGAAATTAGTATGTAAGGAGGTGTGTCACCATCCTATTGGTGGAGAGCTTTTCCTGCATAATAACATCATTATGCAGTAATGCAATTCACATGAAATCTAATGAGATTTGGTCGGAGATGCCTAAAAGCTAGGTGCAAATAAATCTTTGAAGCAGATGCATGGAGAAAATAGCTTTAATTTATGTAGAAGTGTGTATTAACTCCTTGAAGTCAGCCTTCTTACAGAAATCTGGTGTTCCTTTAAAATGCTTAAGTACAGGGTCAAACACGAATTATCAGTTAATAATAGATTAATACTAGATGACTGTAACATGTAGAATACTCAATGCTTTGCACACTATTTAATTGGTGTCTTTAGGGAGCCAACCCCTATATTATGTATGAAATGAAGAAGTAAAAAAATAAATACATATACAGGTCATCAGAAGGTAGATATGAAGATCTACCTGGCATAGTCACTCTACCTCCGAAGCGTCCCAAATTTGAAAACTGGCAAATAGCCAAAACAGAGATTTTTTATTTTCGTACATCATCATCTTCCTTCAACAGGCCTAGCACCTACTTAGTTCTAGCAGTAACTATAATTTTATCATCATTTGATAGAGCTATTTATTCTATTATTATTCTATGCAAAATTTATAAAGCTTTAGAATATACTTTATAACCTAGTAACCCAAACTATGCCATCTTATAAAAAAGGTAAACAAACAAGTATAAGAAAAGAAATTATTGCTAAATAAAAGAGCTATGTAGGGCTGGCTAATGAAATTGAAAAAAAAAAGAACCAAACAAGATATGGAGGGAAGTGGACATATCATTTGATCTGGCAGATGATTACATAGCAGACTAACCTGTCTCAACCCATTTTGTTCATTGCTTATATAGATGTTGGTAGCAACATGGGTTGTAAATCATTTAAATCAACTTATGACATTACATTTATCAGGAAATAATCTTGAGAAGCTCAAGTTATCATGTACTTCCAAAATATGGTGAATTTTTAAAATACAAAGTTTTGTACTTCAGATAAAGATACACCTGTTGTGAAAAGGATATAAAGTACTGTGGGGACAGATACAAACCTAGATGTAACTGCTGAATATAATCAAGTCTTCAACTGAGTGTTACATTCTACGGTGATTACGGCTAATAAAGTACTGAGATTTATCTAGAGATCCACGTTTATGCATAAGGTAATTATTATTACTTTAGACAAGGCTCTAGTTAGACCTTATTTGAAGTACTGTGCCATCCATAGGATATAAATCTGCTAGAAAGAATGCAAAGCACAACCAGAAACTGTACCTGGTACATGTTTTTAGGCAGAACTGCTTCAAGTTAGTTTCTAATTCATAAAACAGTTTCCCTAATTAGACAGTAAATACTAATAGTATGGATTTTTTGCTTGTAAGAATGGTATATGGTTATAAAAAATACAGGTAGATGGGATGGTATTTGTTTTCACTGTTCATGTTATTACATTAATGGTTCAAACTATTTCCTTTCACCTTGCATATTATCTTATAATGACAATTCTTTTTATATTGAAAACTGGGAAGAGCCTTATTTATTACATGAAATTTCACAATAAAAGTATTTTATATTTAAAGCAAAAAGAGAGAAAACTTATATATATTTTGCTGATAAATTAACAGCAGTTTTTTTCTTTTTTATCATCATGCACTGCAGATGGCATTCTTTCAAATATATCCAAGTTTTACAAGATCCAGGTTCAAAACTACAAATACGTATGAAATTTTATTTTATTATGCTTTACTATACTCAATAAAATGTAATGTATACTATAACATATAAGTTCCATATAAATCTTAGTTTCTGAAAGATCATGAAAAACAAATAGACAGAAGATTAAACAGCTACCTCAAAAACATAATTCCCTGACTTAAATACAACCCTCCCAAAAACTCTTCTAATGAAACTTTGAAAGAATCAAAATCAATTACCCAAACCACTCCTTTGACAAAGCACTGAGAAAATAATTACCTGAAAGGAGACAGTTTTTCATAAATGAAATGGTATTGGTAACCTCTCAAAACTATACCATCACATCTTCATACATAAATTCTGCTCAACAAAGTGAAATTCATAAAATAAAATGGTATTATTTCAATTTTTAAAGACAAAATTTAAAGAGAATGAATGATGAACTTGGTGCACTGAAAAATAGTTAGTTTTTTAAGTCACTAAAGCACATTAAATCTTACTTTTTACAAAGTTTTTCCTGAAGCTTTGCTAGATGCTGGTAATAACGTCCAGCTCCACCATACTCAGCTTTCAATTCCATTCCTATCACCTGAAGAATTAACACAACTTTGTTCACAACCCAAATATAAAGAAATTATACTTCAATCTGATGATAAATATACATGATTTCACACATAAATATATTTATTAAAAAAATATATATATATATTCACTGATTGTCAAAGCTCACTCACAGCTATATAGCTATCAAGCATTGTGTCATACAATACAAAGAAAACCTAATTCAATCTTGATTGAACATTTTTTTTCATGGTGCCTGGTACGAAATCATAATTACAAAACTTACTCCTAAATTTGTAAATATTCTGAATTTTTTTTTAAATATCAAATCAATGGAATAAAAAAGTACCTTGAGAAATTTTAATTTCTGTTGATATGGTGTAAATCAAAGTGAAAATTTGCATTTCTCTGAAAATACTGAAACTGTGAAAGTGAAATGCTAGCACTAGCAGATAAATGCCTTGTGACATGTGTTAAATCTTTTGCACGAAATTTTCACTGTATAATGTATAAAATTTTTGCAATAAAAGCGTTCTTTATGTAAATTATTTTAAACTACATTAATGGCCACAAATGAAAACATATTTGTCTTTAATTAGAATTTTTTACACACCTAATGAAACACTGACGTTTAAAATTTATTTCAAGACTAAACCCTTAGTACTTTCTCCCAAATAAATCTTTCTATTAGTTAATCAGTGTACGAGTACTTGCTGTTCTGTGGCATTAGGTAATATGCGAAACGGCGTACAGAACCAAACCAAAAGCTTCCCGTAAAATAGGTAAAAAAAAGGGACATTAAACTCCTAAAAAATAGCATTTAGGATGACGCTACAAATACCATATAATACTTGGCTGAACTTTTACGATATCATATTTAACTCCTTACTAATTTAAAGTATACTCTTCTGTTTTAAAACTTTTTATGCTACGTCAATTACATTGTAACTGTAACATCTCATGTTGGGCAAAGTAAAACGCGGAACCATCAGATCTCGAAACAAAAATCCATTTCTTGAAGACGAAAAGCGGTAGACTTTCGAAATGTCGTCCTCTGTACTTGTGTTTCTACAACAGGCAGTTGCTTTCCACTCAATTATGTTTAATCACAAAAAATATCCAAATTTCTATAAAAAAAAAGTTAAAATAATCCTTAGAAAAATAACAATTCAGAAATCTTAAAAAATCTTACTTGTTAGGGGTACAGTTTCTTTTATCACACCAGAAGATGTGATGCTTTCCATAACCTACATACAAATACATAATAAATTCCATTCAAATCTACAGCGTACATTCCTATAACGAGTATTTCAATATTAAAAGTTAATCTTTGAAACTGCAATAAATTATTACGGACTCTTTGTGTCACAAATCAAAACACATTATGAAGGTCATTAAATGCTCTATCCTATGGAATTTAATACTTCTTGACATAAATAATTTGTAATATTCGACATTGAATTCTAATTACACCTAATTAGTAAATCTTTGAAACCGCTAAGCCTATTACCGACTCTTTGTGTCACAAATCGAAACACATGTTGCGTCATCGAGATGACGTGACTATTCTCACGCCCTCTAGTTTCTAGAACTATCCCGTATCTTGGCGAATGCTCTAGTATTTACTAGATAGGGTAGGCTGGTATATAAAAGAGGGGAATGTAACGTGTGTGAAAAGAGAGTGAGTAATTGATCTGCGGTCAGAAGTATTAATGACGTTCGTTGTTATAGCGTTTGTTTAGCGCGATTGTTGAAGTTGAGTGTATTGGTAAAGTTGTATTCGAAAAGAATAAACCAGTTTTATTAAGTAAAGAACTTGTGTCGCTAAAGTTTCGTCGGAACGAAGTTACGGAAAGTTAATTAACAAACGGAGACGTAACAAATTGGTGTCAGAGAGTGGGATAGAAAACAAAAAAGAGAGAAGAAGATGGAAACGAGAGGCGGAAAATCAAACTACAGCTTAGCAGATTTGATGGCAGCAATACAAAAACAAGAAAAGAAACAAGAAGAGAGACAACAGCAGTTGCAAGAAAACCTGCAACAATGGCAGCTCGAACAACAAAATAAACAAGAAAGAGAAATTAAACAAGAGGAGAAATTACGGCAGTTGATAGAGGAAAAAAAAAGAAACAAGAAGAGAGACAACAGCAGTTGCAAGAAAACCTGCAACATAGGCAGTTCGAACAACAAAATAAACAAGAAGAACGAGAAATTAAACAAGAGGAGAAATTACGGCAGTTGATAGAGGAA